ATGCAGGATGTTACCAGTGCATGTGTGACTGTCATGAGACTCCACTCGTCCAGGTAGGGCCGTAGCTGGTATAATTTCCGCAGCTGAAGGAAGGCGCCCCTGGCCACCAAGTCCACCTGGGCTTCCAGTGTTAGACTGGGGTCCAGGAGCACCCCCAGGCTGCGGACCCTGTCCCTTAGGGAGAGTGTAATAAAATGAATGTGTTTTTTTCCTCTGTGTATTTTCATTACAACAGAAACATTTATCCTTCTGTGCCCTCCTTTAGAGAAATCTCCCTTTAAAAAATTTAGAATTAGGACATACATTCTATACACTGGCCTATCTTGAAGAGAACACTAGAAGCTGATCACGTTGGGACTGGGGAATTTTTCTTGATCTTCTGTAGTGACTCTGATTTTGTACAGTTCAGATATGAGCCCTCTTTCCTGTAACACCAACTTGAACTTCAGATGACCCAAATGGAGAAAATGAGAAAAGAATTGGCAACTGGGATTTGACCAGTCCTTGGCATTCATCTCTGGTATTGAATATTTCTTTCACAAACACTTTATTTATTTTTTATTTTATTTTATTAGATTTATACCCCGCCCATCTAGACGAAAGGTCTACTCTGGCCAACATTACAAATTTTAAAACAGTAAAACCAATAAAAATGCAATAAATCCAAGATGGTAAGATGTGAATTTAAGATACATCAGGAGGGAAAGCCTGCCCAAACAGCGAAGTCTTGAGTTTATTTCTGAAGACACCCAGAGAGGGAGCCAGGCGGATTTCCACAGGCAAGTTGTTCCAGAGGCAAGGGGCCACTGCTGAGAAGGCCCGGTTCATCATTCTTTCCTTCTGGACCTCCCTCAGCATTAGGCTCCTCAGCCGCTCGGCCTGGCTGGAATGAGTGACACTGGCAGAACTGGGTGGGAGAAGGCTCTCTGCCAGATACAGATAGTTTTGAGACACAGTTTTGTGTACTTCCATAAACCTGTTAGCCCTGAGAAGTAGAAAGCTGAAGGATAAATGCTGCTGTTGTGTGAATTCCTCATTTCTCTGCTGTTGACCAATATATTTAGTTGTTGGTTGAGAGGTTTGTGACTAAATCCGGAACCAAATCTTAGAGACAGTTGTTGATTGGAATAGGGAAATTCTTAAAAGTGTAAGCATTTGAATGTCACAGCACTATCATTTCTCACCTGTGGGATTATGCAGATCACTTTCCTTTGTTTGGTGACAGGGAAGAATGGGATTCTGATGATTCTCAGACTTGACTTCTAGGCAGATTTCTGGGACTGGGAGAGAAACCAGAAGGAAGAAGAAATGTCTGTCTGTCAGAACTGTCTGCTTCACTCCATGTGGTTCAGCTAGCAAGAAGAAGGGAATGCTGCCTCAGTGACACTGCTTTCTTGGAGTTGCCTTACAGCTCCATGGGATGGTTAGTTCGTTAGAAGGTTTCTGTATAGATTCTAGTGGGTAGCAAGACTATCCTTTCCTAACTGAACCATGTGGAGTGAATCACAGAATAGAGTTGGAAGGGGTCTTTAAGGTCACAGAGTCCAAAGTTAAAGTGTATCTGATAGAACACAATCAAAGTATAATACATTTGGAAAAGGAGATAATGGTGGAGGCAAAGCCTTTCTTTTGCCTTCTGGTTTCTCCTTTTTCAGCCCTGGACATAAGTGCTAGCTAAATGCTTTGCAGAGTGAAGCACTCAGGCACCCACTTATTTCTGCAGTGGCCGTAACTGCTAGAGGGAAAACCTTTTAGATCCTCACTCTTGTGCAAAACACCCTGTCCCCTTTTGGGCTTATTTTCCCACCCCAGATGACAGTGGTGGACTGTGAAAGAGAACAAAAATGTTTGCCCATTCAGAGCAGAGGGAGGAAGTATTGATCTCACTGTGACATGGTCTTCACAGAAGCCAAACTCAAGGCCTCTCAATACTGACATGATGACATCATAAGGCCTACCTGATTCCTTACTGCCCTTGTGTGGTGCTGCAGCTACAAAGCCCAGAAAGAAGCCATTACAGACAATACACAGAAAAGACAAGTAGAGATGATTTGTAACTTTTTTGCCCTCTCCTTTTGATCTGCCAATATTTGTTGACAGGAATTGAGTATAGCCCTCAAAAATCATTGTTAATGGAAACGTTTTTTAAAAAAATCATGGCTATGTTGATTGTATCCCATAATCCCATGCTCTATTCAATAGACCGCTTCCTGGAGATGTATAAATGTTTTTTCTTCCAAAACCCACTGAGTTTGATGGTCTGCGGTCAACTATGGACAGGACTGCAATCTTAAATTAACTGCAATGATGCATGTTAACTGTTCTGAAACAATGAATGAATTTGCAAACAACTGTTATCACTTATCATGAATGATAATGACATGAAATTCAGTGTGGTGTAGTGCAGTAGTCCCCAATCTCGAGTCCCCAGATGTTTTTGGACTTCACCTCCCAGAAATCCTGGCCAGCAGAGGTGGTGGTAAAGGCTTCTGGGAGTTGTAATCCAAGAACATCTGGAGGCCCATGGTTGGGGACTACTGGTGTACTGGATAGAGGTTTAACCTAAGGAAACTGGATTCAAATCCTTGTTCTGCCATAGAAACCCGATGAGAGCTGGCAATGGGAAATCACGCTTTGAAGACCTGTTATACCTTGAAATCCTTATTTGAATTGCCATAAGTGAGAAGTTACTTCATAGCTTGTAACAACAATAATGATATACAGATGTATGTTGCTGATAATTGGAACTTCAGAGTTTCATGTTTACCCCAGCATTCTGAGTAGTTACACGTTTTAAGAAAAAGACTGTACCTCACACAACAAATGCACAACACAAAAATCATTTCTTAAATGTTATTGTGGTTGAAGAAAAAGCAAAAGGATGTCCCCATGTAAGGTCTGTGCAGGGGTATATGTGTGTGGGCACTCATGTTCTTTGTCAGAAACTCATACAGGAACAGTGACCCTGTTTTTGCTGTTGGATATCATAGTGATATAATCATAATTGCACACTCGATAATATTTTTTATCATGAGGTCTGTTTTACTGGTAATTTGACTAATATCCCAACCATTCCAAATTATTTTCCAAACAGAAACCTTTACAGAGTTCAGTGAAAGACTCAAGCCTATTTTTATAGACCTATCATTTCAACAGTGATTGCAGCTGTTTTTAATAAATCATCAAGATGTCCCAAGAACATAAACAGATCTGGTATTTGTAAATGTGAAAATATAGCCAATCTGGCTCTCTTACATTTCTGATCCTAGCATAATACTCCAGCAGAAATGTGGACCAAAATGTGCCACTGTAAGTTTGTGGCATTTAAGAAAAACATGGGTCTAAAGACCGATTTAGATGACTCCCAGCTGTGAAATATTTCTGTGAAGCTTATCTGTCTTTTCCCTGCATTCTTATATTGTGTTTATCCACAATGCGTAAATTTGAGAAACTGTTCCTAGCCTCCTTTCAATACAAATGTGAATACAAGAGATACTGGCAGCTGGAGTGGGAAATGCTAGGCACCTGTTCTGTATTGTGAAGCAGAGAGTACAGAAAAATACTGACTTATTTTCACCATGATGATAATCAAGACTCCACCAAGAAACATCAAACTTGGCCAGATAAAAGCAAAGAAAAGGTCCTCTGGAGGGTATAATCTCTTTAAAATGACACTCTCTTCTTTTCTTGATGGGTCGTAGTAACAGGAAAATGTCTGGTGCTTTCTGAAATTGTCTGTTATTTCTTCTACTTGCTTTTGAACTTCATTGTAATTCTCCATATTTGGAGGAACATATGAGCACTGTAAAAACAAATAACAAATAATACATGTTATCATAATGACTGGTCAGAAAAAGAGTATATTGAAGGCATTCTTGATAAGTACAACTGAAAAAGAAGGTACATCCTCTTTGAATTCTGTGGTTGTATGTATCAGGACTAGAGATGGGGATATTTGTATTTGTAAATACGAATATCCCCATTTCAAGCGCTCCTAATTTGGGTCCAGCTCTCGGAACCATCCAGTCACGCTTGCTATACCCGCCATCCTCCTGCTCTTCCTGCCAGTCGTGGAAGTAGCTCCACCGTCTACTGCTCAGCTGGCCACTCAGCAACCATGTAGGGAGATCTGTCCTCCTGCCCCCTGGCTGGAGTGGCCAGCCGAGCAAGGGGGCAGCAGAGCTATTTCCATGATTAATGGGAAGAGCGGGAAGCTGGTGGTGCAGCAAAACATGAGTGGACAGGCCAGTTCTGACAGTATGATTTATTTTATAAAAATAAAGCCAAAAATGGAGAATCTATGTGTGAAAAACCAAGTCCATCTTATGATTCAATAGCTTGTAGAATCAATTTTAGCAGCAATAACCTGAAGTAATTGTCTTTTGTATGATTTTATCAGTTTCTCACATCATTGTGGAGGAATTTGGGCCCACTCTTCTTTACAATGTTGCTGCAATTCATTGAGATTTGTGGGCATTTGTTTATGCACAGCTCTCTTAAGGTCCTACCACAGCATTTCAGTAGGGTTGAGGTCTGAACTTTGACTGGGCCATTGCAGTAGCTCGTTTATGCACAGCTCTCTTAAGGTCCTACCACAGCATTTCAGTAGGGTTGAGGTCTGAACTTTGGGCCATTGCAGTAGCTTGATTCTCCTCTTTTTTAGCCATTCTGTTGTAGATTTGCTGGTGTGCTTGGGATCATTGTCCTGTTGCATGACCTAAATTTATCCAAGCTTTAGCTGTCAGATGAATGGCCTCACATTTGGTATACAGAGGAGTTCATGGTAGACTCAATAACTGCAAGGTGCCCAGGTCCTGTGGCTGCAAAACAAACCTAAATGATCACTGTTGGTATGAGATGTTTATGCTAATATTCTGTGTTTGGTTTTCACCAAACATGGTGCTGTGCATTGTGGCCAGACATCTCTACTTTGATCTTATCTGTCCAAAGGACATTGTTCCAGAGGTCTTGTGGTTTGTCCAGATGCAACTTTGCAAACCTAAGCCATGCTACCATGCTCCTTTTAGAGAGATAAGGTTTTTTCCTGGCAACTCTTCCAAACAAACCATACTTGTTCATACTTGTCTCTTTTTCTAAATGTATTGTCATAAACATTTAACATAAAAACTGGGGTCTGTAGAGGCTGAGATGTAAGTTTTGGGGTTTTTTTGTAATTTCTCTGAGCATTGCTCGGTCTGACTTTGAGGTGAATTTACTTGGATGTCCATTTCTGGGAAGATTGGCAACTGTCTTGATCATTTTCCACTTGTGCATAATCTTACTCACTGTAGAATGATGGATTTTAAATTGTTTGGAAATGGCCTTCTAACCCTTCCCAGATTGATGGGCTGCAACAATTGCTTCTCCACTATCATTGCTGATGTGTTTCCTTCTTGACATTGTGTTAACACACACTTGAATGCTCCAGACCAGCACACTGCTAAAACCTCAGCTTTTATAGAAGTAGTCACACTTGCTGATGATCAATTACTCAAAGGCATTTACTTAGCAGCACCTAGCTGCTACTTAGCATCCTAATTCCTATGGAAGCAGTAAGGGTGTACTTAGTTTTTCACGCATAGCTTCTCCATTTTTGCTTTATTTTTGTAAAATCATGTCACAATGTGATATATCATGTGTTGTTGTTCATCTGAGGTTGTATTTACCTAATTTTCAGATGTGCTAATTTTTATTTATTTATTTTTAAAAATGAGATCATACGGTGGTTTTCCATAATTCAGGGATAGGCCTGTGTGGCTCCTAGATCTGTGGAGGTTTTCCAACCAGTAGGAAGTCATTCACTCCCAAAATGTGGGACATGTCCCCCCCCCCGAGTATGAAGAAAACCCAAGGGTAGCATGAAGGAATGAGATTTTTTAAAAAAAATACTGAAGTTTCTGTGATAGATATTTTTACTAGAATTTTGGATTTCTGAAGAAAAGCTATTTGTGCATATTCTTACTCTAAATGTTTTTATCACATTTCTCTTATCATTTTCATTATAATTAGACTTTTTGGTTAAAGCAAATTTGATTAATGGTAAAAGAGGGGTGAGGAAACATGAGAGCTCCTCAGATATTGCGGAGGTGATGTGATGGCTGAAGAATTTAGGAACAACTGAGCTTGCCTGTGAAACAATATCATCATCTTTGTACAAGAGATAGATAGTCTTTCAAAGGTTCCCTTGGCTTAACTTGGAATTTGAGTGAGTTATTCTGGGGAAAAAATAAACTCAGAATCAATCCTTCCAAGCCTATCCAGGGATACATCTAAGGAACTTTTTTCATTGCTCCCAGACAATGCAATGGAAAGGAAAAAATGCTGTGAGGATAGAATATGGGCTGTAGATAAAAACTGATTCTTGCAGACACAACCTATAAGTGGAGCCGTGCAAGGAGGGTGTGAACAAAGAACCGTAGAAGACGACTCCAGGTAAAATAGAGCAATTGACCCTTGCAAATTCCTAGCGGGGCTTTAAGCTTCCTTCTCCACCCATATTTTCTTGCTATATTTTTAGTCGTCCCCCCATCATCCCCACACATATACCCATCCATGCAAGATCATCAGTGGCATTAGCTAGCTTTGGGATTAGAGATTGACACACACACAAAAAAGAGCCAGGAAGTTCATCAAAAATCGCTCGTTCATTGATTCAGGTAAGTTTGGGTTCCTCAAAACTGAGGAATCAAAACAAACTGAACCAACAAACTTTTTAAGCAATTTCACAATCTTCCTGGTTCATTTTCTCCTCCGCTCCCACACCCTGCCCCCCAACACCTTCCCACTGCCTCTGTTGCCACTCTACCTTGTGCTACCACCTCCTTCTCTTTCTCGTCCTCTGCCACCATCATCTTCAGAAACAGCATCTCAGCTTCCCTTCCAGGGCAGGGATTAATGTCTCTGTGCATGGATCCGCCTGACAGGTATGGGCATGTGCAGAGACAGTGGAGTGGCTTCTGTGAGCTGAGTCTACTATTTCTATACATGTGTCGAAGTCCACGTTGATCAGGGAGATCATCTGGGGCCAACATTACCTGTAAACTGTGCAGCCAGATGGTGCTGGATTGCCCATTTGGAGCCAGAAGAACAATGGACCAGGAAGTGGCAGGACCAGGTAAGGAGGCAGTGGGGGCAGTGGGAAGGAGACAGGGGGGTGGCAGGGGGTGGGGCTGTTAGTTTTCCCTTCCTCAGTCACAAACCTTTTGTAAAAAATGAGCCAGTTTGTTCATTAAAAAAAAAAAAGAACTTCGGAAAGTTCACAGTTCATGGGTAGCCACAAACCATGAGTTGCAATTTTTCTGGTTTGTGCCCAATTCTGTTTAGGATAAAGGCAAATATTTGCAGGATTTCCTTTTCCACGCACTTGAGAAAAGAAGTGCAGAGAAAAGAATGTTGGGGTCCAATTTGGGCTTGGATGTTTCAAGCAGCATGAATTGAAATGAAAGCCAAGCTTAAATGGAATGAGGGGCGGTGAGATTCACATTGCTACATAAGTGCACCTTGATTATCTTTGGATTATGCTTCAATTTATTTGCCATCATCCCAGTGTATTACTAATAGCAGCTGCTGGTTTAGAAACACAACAGTTTCCTTGGAGGGAGATGGACCCCATTGGGATCAGGGCCATATTCTACTATGAAACCAATGAATCTTAAGCTTCAGGACCCCTAATCCTGGAGGGTCCCCAGAAGTGACTGGGTCCACATGTTTTTTAAAAAATTGTGGTCTGTTGTGGAACAACCCCCTTGAAGAAGATAGCAGTTGTTACCCAGACCTTGTTGCTGGTTCTGAAGGGACACCTATAAATAACATTTCACACTTTAGGGCCCCCAAAATATAGGTCTGCTACTGGTTGGGCCTGAAGCAAAAAACCTCTAGATAACAACTCCCAGTTCTTTCTCTTCCAGGCACCCACCTGCGAACACTAAAAACGAAACCCAGTAAACTGTGGAATGCCCTACCTAATGACGTAGATGTAACAGACTACCAAACTTCTTTTCACTGCCCCCCCACCGGCCTTGCCTGTTGTTGCACAGGGAACTTAGGTGGGAAAAGCTGCAAAAAAAAATTATTCCCCTTCCTACATTTTTATCCAGCCAACTCTTTGTTAAATGCATCGAGTTGACCCAGGATCAAATCCTGGATGGTTGTTTTCTTTTGCGTTGCTCCGATGTTCAGCAGTAGCATTTTGAAATGTACGCTATGTGAGAATTCTTAAATACACTATCACCGTTTGCATTTTAAGCTACCTATTGATTTTTGGCTTAATATGAAGTGTTAGGAAGGTCAAACTGATGTTCTTTTGAGAGTTGTAACAAAGGCCTATATTTCATGATAGCTGCAAGGACTATTTTAAAAATATGTGTGTCAAATGCTTTGAGAATCATTTCAAAACTTAGGGGAAAAAAGGTTAAGTAACAATATTGGAACAGAGCTTTAAGGATGGAAAGGAAAGATGTTTAAAGTTTGCGTATTTATCTGAAATACGGCTGCCTCTAATAAACAGGTTACAATTTATTGATTATATCTGATTACAGATAATTTGAAGCATCATGTAGGAATGCTTCTAGTTTTTCCCTCAGGATCTCATTTCCACATAGACTCACTGCAACATTCTGTTTGATTTATATGAAAGTAACCTCTCTCCAGCATGTGTTAATAATGTTTTATTGAAAAGTAAAACCTGATGGAGAACTGCAAAACGCCAATTAAAATTTAGTAAGTCTATCTTGAATGAGTACTTATGCAGTAATTTTTCTTCCTTTTCATCCTTACATGCCTGAGTCAGAAGATATTATTTAAGCAACTATTCATGGCCCTGAAACAATTGTTAAACCTCCCCTTAGGAAAAATTTGCTTCTTCTTCTTCTAGTTTATTTAGGGAATTCATATCTGCAGTGTAAAGAGAATGATTTCCTACTAGACTGTGAATTACTGCAAGATGCTGAAATGAATAACAAATGAAGCTGAAAACAATGCAAATGGTTATACCAAAGAAGTAAATCCCACATAATAAGTGATTCACTCTTTGGGAAAAGGTTTCTGGGCTGCCACTGGTAGCTGCTGCTATGAGATTGAAGGAGTTTGATTTCATTCTGCAGTGGTGTTAGGTGTATCATATTAATGAGCAAATTCCTTTTGTTTTTTCAGTTATTCTTCTCACATGGACAACCCCCTGGTTTCCCAGTGATTCTGTCATTAGGATAATAGCTTAAATTGGGGATTTGGGGCATTCAGTAATGTATTATGTCTTTTACTGATTCACAGTAATAATTTCAAAAGCACCCTGCCAACATCACCTGCATTTTAAGAACAGGAAATTGAACCATTACTTCAGGTATAAATGTACAGAAGATATTTTAAACAAGTGTGCACCTGAAAAACCATGTAGTTTAGAAAATAATGTTTAAAATTGTAAAATATCTTTTAAAATGTATGGCATAACTATTTTTAAAAAAAAACACCTCAGGGAAGGGGTACAGATTGCATTGTTTTAAGCAAATGTATTTAGTAAAGTAGAATTTCTAAAAGGGGCCAGTACATTTGAGTCTGAGAGAGGCAATATGAGCAGAAGAATGCAGGCAACCTATGTAATTTTTAAAAGGCTCTGAGATAGTATGTTGGCCTTTATTTTTGCCATCAGAACCACACCAGGCAAGCAAACAACACATTTGTATGCTTCCTGTGGGTGCTTCCAGATGAGCCTGCTTCTTTGAATTTTAAAAAAGGTTCACATCACGTTGCCTTCCATTAGATTCAATCCTTGTGGTATGTTACAGCTTGTGCCATTGTACATTTCTCCTATTCCACAATTCTGTGATTCTGTTACTACATTTGTAACCCTCCTCTGTTTTCTGACAGTTTCTGTCTGTCTGTCTGTCTGTCTGTCTGTCTGTCTGTCTGTCTTTCTTTCTTTCTTTCTTTCTTTCTTTCTTTCTTTCTTTCTTTCTTTCTTTCTTTCTTTCTTTCTTTCTTTCTTTCTTTCTTTCTTTCTTTCTTTCTTGTTACCATTGACATTCCATGAAGGAAAGGCACAATGTCTTTTGATTGGTAGTGCTCAAAGCTGATCATCTGGAAGCATCCAGTCTCCAAGAGAGATGCATGTTACCCAAAAACTGCCACCTTTGCCTTGAATGATACTTCTGGACCCAGAATATAGAAATGGCAGGCGAGTTGCTCAGAGTTATTTATATTTTATCTTGCATCTAGATTTACTTGGTCCAAGGTTAGAATAATCTGCCAGAGCCAGATTTCTTTTTGAACTTCCTGATTTCTATTTGTGTCTCTTCCATCAGTGTGCCCTCAGCTGTATAAATATTTTATTTCCGTCCATATCAAAAAGCATATGGTTTATTGGATTGGTTCTTTTTTATTATTATTGCATAGTTAAGAAAGAAATTGATTAAAAATAACTGATGAATGTCACTCAAACCTGGGGGTTTCTGTCCACGGTGTCCTCTGTGTGATAGAGCTTTACCACTTGCCCCAGCAGTGTCAAATTGACCTCGACTTCCAAGCAAGGATAACGAAAAATATTCTCATCACCAGAACCTTCATTGTAGAGGCAATGGACAGGCTCCTTGATACTGGCTTTCATCAGTTTGCATATACTTTCATTGGTCCAGATACTGCAGAAATAAATTAAAGAAAGATATTCCCCCCCACCAATTATTACTTTCCACGGATTTTTTAGTGGTTTCAGTCTAATAATTTTTAAACATTCACTGAAGCCATTCATTTATGATAATTTTTAAACATTTAATGTGGCAAGCAGAAATGACACAGAAATCTGATAAGCATTTTCAACTATTACTTCTTATAAATGAAGTGACTATGCTCAACCACACAAAAGAGGGTGACAACAGGGATGCTCCCCTTTAAATACACCCCACTCGTCCCCACACCCCTCAGCTGCTCTCAGGGCAGCCTTGTAGTCTCGCGTGGCCTCCGGGAGGCTGGCAAAGGCACACCTCCTCGGGGGACTCCCTACAGGACTCCCCCCCCCCGGGTGTGAGCATTTGAATTAATGGAACTCACAGAGGAGCTGGATTACCAAATCCCCATTTATTCAGTGGGCTTCCTCTAGTGTGATTTACTGTACTAAGCAACAGGTTTTTGGCCAGTGTCTATAATGAGGATTATTGAAAACTGAATACAAATTCAAATTACAGTTCTAGCACAAATTAGTAGTCTTTGTGACAAATCTATTAGAAATTATACAGTATTCCTTCACTCTTTTCACTTCAACTGAGGGCAAAAAAGCATTATAACAGGCAGCCCTGACCTCACCTGTCCGTCACAGCTGGGCAGTGAATCATCAGCCAATGGGATGACGGAGGGTGGGGCTGAGGAGGGAGGAGCTGGAAGAAAAATGGGTGTGAAGGGAGTGTGGGAGATGAGATCTGGAGTGTGAGAGAGAAAGAGCTTGTCTAGAGGCCTGTGTGCCTACGTATTCAGTGAGAGAAAGTCTGTGATTGATTAAATAAGAAACAGTGATTGACATCGTGATTAGCTACTTGTGATTTGCATCTTTTATTTTGTTATCAATAAACCTGTTTTGTTTTGAAGGAAACCTTTGTCCTTCTTCTATAGTAATTACAATTGGTGGCAGCGAGTGTGAAGTAGTGATGTGGTAGGCATTCTGAGAGGCCCGAGTTGGCAGTGACATTAGAGTGGCCAGCCACGTCACAATAAACACGCCTCCTCAGGGGACTCCCTACAGGACACACACCCCCCGGCGTGAGCATTTGAATTAATGGAACTCACAGAGGAGCTGGATTACCAAATCCCCATTTATTCAGTGGGCTTCCTCTAGTGTGATTTACTGTACTAAGCAACAGGTTTTTGGCCAGTGTCTATAATGAGGATTATTGAAAACTGAATACAAATTCAAATTACAGTTCTAGCACAAATTAGTAGTCTTTGTGACAAATCTATTAGAAACTATACAGTATTCCTTCACTCTTTTCACTTCAACTGAGGGCAAAAAAGCATTATAACAGGCAGCCCTGACCTCACCTGTCCGTCACAGCTGGGCAGTGAATCATCAGCCAATGGGATGACGGAGGGTGGGGCTGAGGAGGGAGGAGCTGGAAGAAAAATGGGTGTGAAGGGAGTGTGGGAGATGAGATCTGGAGTGTGAGAGAGAAAGAGCTTGTCTAGAGGCCTGTGTGCCTACGTATTCAGTGAGAGAAAGTCTGTGATTGATTAAATAAGAAACAGTGATTGACATCGTGATTAGCTACTTGTGATTTGCATCTTTTATTTTGTTATCAATAAACCTGTTTTGTTTTGAAGGAAACCTTTGTCCTTCTTCTATAGTAATTACAATTGGTGGCAGCGAGTGTGAAGTAGTGATGTGGTAGGCATTCTGAGAGGCCCGAGTTGGCAGTGACATTAGAGTGGCCAGCCACGTCACAATAAAATTCCATACACTTTCATGATTCAGGTACAGATAAGACAAGACTGTGCAAAGAAGTGTTAGTCTGGTGACCCATGCTTGGCATAGGGCCTCCAGAGACACATTTCATGATGTCCACGAAGTCTTCATGTCCTACATAGACCATATCCACATAATGCTGAGCAAGGATACAGCTGCCATGAGATTTCTTAAGGATTCTCAGGGTTTGAGTGTAATTTGAGAGAGTAATCAGATAGATGAAGAGAAAGCAGCCTTTTTGCTAGGGTGACCAAGACTTTAAAATGTCATCCATGTTCAGTGGTTTAAGAAGCTTGGAAACCTACCTAGTTTTTTTAAACATATCTATACTACACAGTTAAAAGAGGACTGATACTACATTAACCACCATGCCTTCATCCTACAGAATGAAGGTTCTCTTGCAGAAAGTTCTAATAGCTTCACCAACCTAAAAATCCTGGGATGCAATAGGAAGGAGTCATGGCATTTAAAGAGAAATCAAACAGCTATAATAACTATGTAGTGTTGATGTATTAATCTCTTAACTGGAGCTCATTAAATCGAGGCATTTGGAAGTTCTTCTACTTGAAAACACATTTAGGAGTGGTGAGGAACACTCTTCCTTTGGAAACAGAAGGGAATTGATGCAGTTATTATTTAAAACATAGATCATAATCCAAAACCTTATCACAAAGCATCGGTTTTGGTGTCGGAAGAGAGTGTTTATTACACATCCATATTTGTTTTCCCTGTTTTGCATAACCCTTTTATGAATAACGCTCTTGGCAGAGTTGGGATAATCTAGTATATCTGCAATTTTAATTAATCCTTGATCTGTGACAAGTTCATTTGCCTGAATGAACATCAACCTCTGCTTTTCATTTTTTTCATTTGCTTTTTCCCAAAGTCTGGTTCTTGTTGTTAAAGCTCCTTATTGTGTCAGCATATTTCTTTTCTTTTTTTTCACAGCTAGGCGCTATGGCAAATTATCATGAGATATTTTCTTGTGGAATTAATGCAAATAGTGCTAATGTTTGGGAGGAAAACAACCTGGAGATGAATAGTCCATGACATGACAGATTCAAATTCAATAACCTTTTATCGGCATAGGAAAATTAAAACACATAGATTAAAAAGTTGATAAAAATAATAATAAATAGAGATAGGCATAATAGTTACATGGCTAAAAATCTAACAAAAAACACGACAGGGAATACTTGGGATAGTCTGATTAATTTTTAGAGACCTGGGAGAAAAGAACCTTTGCAAGAAACTTGGCTACTAGGGCCGTTGTTTCTTGTGAGTAGTCACAAAGGAGGAAACCTGTGAGAAGCTGGGGAGGGCCGGAAAAGTCTGAAATGATTGGGCCTAAGATGCAAGCATGAATATCTTTGAACTCAGGACAGAAACAGAGAATGTGTATGACTGTGTCAGGCTCTAAACCACAGACGTTGCAGATTCTTTGCTCAAAAGGTACCCGAGCATATCGTCCCTTAAGAACCTCAGAAGGGAAAATGTTCAGCCGGGCTAACATAAAGGCCCTCCTGATAGAGGGGTTCACCAAGGACTGGAAATAAGCATGTCCAGAACCAAAGGAGGGAAAAATACCAAAATGGATTGGGGAACATGTCTGATTCACATTGGAAACTAACTGGAGATACTCAGACTCCCATAGTCTCTCCTTAATAAGGAAAAGTGCTTGATTAAAATTACTGTTAAGAAGAGAATTCGAAGATATGCCAATGGACATGAGTTTGGTTTCACACTGTGTAAACCATGCGGATTGGTAAGGGTCTTTAAGGAGGTGAACAAGGAGAGAATCCGGGTCTATTTTAAAGAAGAGACGCAGCCAGAATTTAAAAGTGAGTGCCCACACCGTCGTTGAGGGGAGATGCAGGCCTAGCTCTAGGGTTATAGTAGATAGTTTAATTAAGTTGGGGATCCCTAGAATCTGTCTATAGAAGGAAGCAGCCAATAGATCAACTTTATTGTTCATGGCATTGATCCAGATTGGGACACCATAGAGCAGATGATTAATCAGTTTAGCCTGGAAAATATGAATGGCTGCTGGAACGAACTGATTCCCAGCATTATGATGGAATTTACGTAGTTATTGCTGCAAGAAGGTGTGAGACAGAGGCTATCATAGAATCTCTATGTGTAGACCAGTTGACTTGGAAATGAAGTGATATACCTAGGTATTTAAAGGTTCTAACTTGTTCAATGGACTGATTATTAATTTTGCACTGAAGAGGCTTCCAATATTTTGCAAAAACCATAATTTTAGTTTTCTCCAAATTGATAACAAGATTGTTGCGAGAACAATATGATTGAAACAGGAAGAGAAGTTGCCTTAAGCCTGAACTATATAAGAAGGACGGCATCATCCACATATAACAAAAGGGGTACTGGCATCTTATTTAAAAATGGGGTAGAGTTTTCAGCTGGTAGAGTTTTCAGCCCCATAAAAATTGGGCTAAAATACAGTGCTGCCTCACTCCTCTAGTGACTGGGATCTTCTTGGAGACAGAGCCGTAGCAATCATAGTGAACTTGGCAAGAATTGGCAGAATGTAATTTACGAATTAAGAAAAGTAGATGTGGGGGAATTCCCCATGCGGCTAACCGTTCCCACAAAATAAGTCTGTTGACAGACTCAAAGGCAACTTTCTAATCGATAAAAGCCACATACAGGTTTCCCTTAAATTGGCGTGTATACTTCTCTGCTAGAAACAAAAGAGTTAGTACATGATCTAATGTTGAGCAGCCCGAATGGAAGCCAATTTGCTCATATCCTGGAAGGTTCACAGAGGAGGACCAAGTAACAAGGTGAGCTAGAAGATGCTTACTATACAGCTTTCCAATTGCCAAGAGCAAGCTTATCGGTCTATAACTAACCGGATTAGAGGGGTCACCTTTTTTAAAAATAGGAACTAAAATGGAGGTGAGCCAGTCTTCTGGAATAATCCCATGCTCGTCAATTAAGGTGAACAGATTAGCCAAAGAGTCAGCCCACCAATGGACATTATTAATTAGAAGGTCATTGGAAATCCCATCTGAACCAGGGGACTTCCCATGTTTCAGGGAGTAGATAAGCTTTATTACCTCATCCCTGGAAACTGGTGGCCAGAGGAGGAGATCAGAGGGAAAATTCCTTAATGTTGGAGCTGGATCCTGGGAAGAGAATATTTTAGAGTAATATAAATAGTCCAGTTAAGAAGGGAGATAAGTAAAGGACTTTTATAGGGCTCTTTCCTGGAAGATTGTGCAACCAATGACCAGAAAAGTCTGCTATTCTTTGTTGTAATAGCCTCTAGGAGCTGGGACCAATTCCGCAGAGCAAAGTTGTGCCTCTTAACATCAATGAGCTGGCGCCATATACTTCTCGCCCAACAGTAAAGGGCCTTGGTCTCGGGAATATTATGAGATTGGAATGAAAGTAATAAGTGATGAACAAGACGTTTGGTGACCCAACACTCGGCATTCAACCAGGTGTGATGAACAGCCTTGTTTTTAACCACAGTTACAGAGCTAAGTAGTTCTGCCAAAGAATGGGTAATCTGCTGATAAGATGAATCAGCCAGAGATGGTGACGTAGTGGATTGAATTGTTTGTTTTAAGAGAATCGTGTCAGGACTAAAAGACGTCAATGGCGAAACTAATCCTGGGAGACCATTTAGGCCAAAGCTTAGGACAGCAATATGAACTGCCATTAGGCGCCTGGATGGGGGAAATCAGAATTTTTATTGATAGTGGAAGGGATCACTGTCTACACGGGCACCAATAGAAAAATCACTGCATCTGGTTAAAAGCTCGGGTGATACTAAAATATAATCCACCACACTGGCACCAAGGGAGGAAAAAAAGGTAAAATTATTGGCATGGGGATACCAGGAGGAGCCATTAATAATATGGAGATTATAAACAGAGCAAAGATTTGCTAGGGAGCGAGCATTCTCATTAAAGGAAATGTCCTTGGATCTTCTATCCGAACAAAGCCAGGCAGGAGCCACTTCTTCGAGCTCCCATTTAAGGAATTTGGTCAATTTGTTATTATTAGGGCCTAATCTAGAGGTGAAATCTCCAGCTATTATGATAGAAATTGATGGATAAGAGACCAGTGCAGAGTCTAGCAGTCCAACTGACTAGAGCTGCCGACCCTCTAGGAGGGATTTAAACATTTACCAAGAGTATAGACAACTCACCACCTTTAAGAATAAAAGGTTGGATATAACAGGATTCAGATGGAAAAGGAGTAATAGTAAATTGCGAGAAGGATTTAATAAAACAGCAGAGACCAGCACGGTGGTGACCCATTTTCTGAGATTTGAAAGCAGGGACATGATATGAGGTAAAACCGGGGATATGGAGGTCATTTGGGGCCCAGGTTTCTTGTAAACAAATGATGTCAAATTGTGACAGATTCTGACTTAACTTTAAATAGATACAATAAGTATATTTTAAAGTATGCATGTCTGAAAAAAGAGATAGCAGATGAAAAGTACATGTGACAGCTACTGACTTAATTTTAAATTGATAAATTAAATATATTTAAAATATATTTAAGCTAAATCAGTTTAAATAGGCTTCTTTCTTTTTCAAAGTGAACAGAGCCCACCAGATGTATCCTTTCTGTTAGCTTACGATAGCCAGAAAGAAAGTTTAGTATTGTCATTAGATCAGTAGTTCCTAACCTTTTTCAAGTTTAGACTCTCTTTTATAATAATTTGCCAAGTAATTTGCTCCCCACTACCACATTTGTATAAAAAGGCATTTTTGATGGGACAAAGTCCCTTTTCAGAAATTAAATTCTTCTTTCTTCCCTCAAAGGACCTGTTTCTCATACATGCTCATAAACGCAAACTTTGATATCCTGCTCCAAAAGCTTAAGGAAGAAATTATTTAACAAGTGCTACAACATATATAAAGCTGACCCGTGACCCCCCCAGAAAATACTTTGCGACCCCATTGGGAGTCACAACCACTAGATTGGGAAACACCAGACTACACTGCCATGATTCTTGAGATCTCAGCCATAACTAGGAGACATTTGATTCTCAGTTTTAGAATTAAATGCTCTTGGTAATTTTTCTTTAAGTGAATTCCATTTTAATTAGTCTGCTGCCTGAAAATTGATTCAGCATATTTTGGAATGAAGGTTTGTCATGAGGGGTTTGTTAACAAACATCTTGCTTTAAATGTTTAATAATTGCAGTGGAATTCTCATTCTGAGAGCATGTTAATGTATGGAGCTTTCTCGGAGCTGTGGATGCTTAGTCATGCCTCCTCCTCTTGCTTCTTGTTTGGGAATGTTGGAGTGAGACCTAGTTCACAAACTTTAAACTGCCAGATGGACTTGGCAAGTTTATTTGCCAGGATGCACTCCTGATTTTTTAAAAACATGTGATTCTCTATGTTTATTGGGCAACTTGTGATTCTCTATGTTTATTGGACTACATTTCCCATTATTCCTCACCAGTCTATTTCTTAGAACAAATGATATTCCATGTAGGATGGTGCAGGTTTAAGTGTCCGGCAATAGCTGGAGAAACATAACTTGCCCAACCATAGTTTGAAACAACAGGATGGTTCTGAATGCCAGAGGAAAAGCAAACACTCATGCATGCATGTTCAGCAAAACCACTTACCTTCTCTTATATGCTGGCACAATAGTGATCCCAATAAAGAAATACATAATTACTGAGCATGTCACCATTCCCAAGCCTAGGAAGAGGGCCCTGGTCTCTCCTCTTTTCTGTGCTGTCACCAGCTTCTTCCCAACCATGACTTATTGGGATAGGTTCTGTAGCCTTTATTGCTGTAGAAAAAAACAGTAGCAACAATTCAGCTTTCTGTTATGATGATTCAATAGTATTGTAAACCCATCATCATCCAGGAGATACAGCATACATTTATTCAAATAGTTTCCAAATCCTATCAAAGCTTACTTTCTAACAACTAAAATTTGAAAATAAATCCTGTATTGTGTGATGTGCAATATCAGTTGCATTAGTTCACAACTTCAAGTGTACGAAAAGAAACCAACAGTCAAAGGCTTAGACCTCCATGTATTTCTGTTTTGGTAACTAAAAGTGGTCTGTGTTTAGCTACATAAAGCCTCTCAGCAAGAATAATACCAGTTGGTGGTGGTTCACATCTTACTCTGTGGCTGCTTCATGAGGCCTTGATGTTTCTACACTTCCAGGTGCTTCGCTCAACACTGCTGGAATGAGAGCCTCTGCAGTGCTGGGCTGAAGATTTGAGGTCCATTGATTTATGTACATTTTGAGGCACAGTTAGGTAAACAAAAATACCTGAAGGATGGGTTAGTGTGTGTACGAGGTGGGGGCTGTTCCTGTTAAAGATGAAATAGCCAAGAACTGGCTCCCTTTTTGTATACCTCCTCTCCTCCTTTTTCCACTGAGAGACAAATGGCCCCATGATGTTTGAGTGGGTAAGGGATATTTGGCTCAGCATTTACATCAAGCCCATTAAAAGGCAGAAAACTGCCAGCAGGTTTTCACTTCAGTTTTCCTGCTGCACTAAGGGCCGCATCAGATGCAACTTTTTAATTATGTGAATTTTTTCCATATGCATGGTTTTCCATATGCCTTTGGAGGGCAGCTCCCTTTGGTTCCAATAAATACAGTAGTGCCTTAACAAGCCTCCATTAAAATGTAAGGAGAAACTCTTTCTGTTGCCATTGTGGCAGGAAGAGAGAGAAAATCCAACTCCATAGTCACAAGGCTCCTCAGGCGAAGCCTGACATACCAATGCATATTAATTGCACTCTCTGGCACGCAGGCCTTCCTGTGAAACCATATCTCTTCTGGAGGGTCATTTACTAAATAACTCTAGTGGTGATAATTCCTGTTGCTTCACCAAAGACTCCCATTTTGCTTGTGTTGTGTGGTTTTGTCATGAAAACATGGAATCTATTTATAGCAAAGATGGATGTGTTTGTTGCAGAAAGTCTGCCAGCCGAGGCTACTAAAGTATTAACTAGCGTGTCATTTGAACCTGCTGTGAGAAGGAAGTTAGACAAAATACAGCCAGCTAGGGGAAGTGATTGCATAATTCCTAGTGAAGATTGCTATGCAAGCACAAGATGAGACGGTGCTGTATTTTCTGAGGTAAGATACTGTGGACAACTGCTGTGCACTAAAACACAAGCAGAGACACTCTTGGGCACTCCACTTTTGTACTTGGTTGTGAGAAGGAGAATTTCTTGCCCCAAATGACCTTCCCCTGCAGGGACTTTCCAGATTTCAGATCAGATACCTTGGGCACATTGACTCTATTCAGACATTCTAGACAGTGAGCAACATGGCATTCAGCATTCAAACATCCAATAAAAGGGCCCTGCCAGTTCTTCTCTCCATATATTGAAAGCTAAATCTGAAAAGGCAATGGAGGTTGTTGTTGTTGTTGTTGTTGTTGTTGTTGTTGTTGTTGTTGTTGTTGTTGTTGTTGTTGTTGTTGTTGTTGTTGTTGTGGGGTGTTAGGATAAGATATACGAAAATTGCCATGGCAGTTCTTTGTTAGAAGAGTTGGCTGGAAAATTCCAGCCAAGGGTTACCAGATGTGAAGTTTCAAACCACACAAACCCCATAGGGGAAGAAATGTATCTGTCAGACTTCTGCCATGAATTTTGGGACCCTCGTTTATAATATTTTTTTTCCTATAGTATTGCTGTGTGGCCTGAAGAAGTGGATTTGAACCACAAAATGTTGCCAATTGGTTGATTTTTTAAAAAGTGATATAATAAAGGTATCACCTCTCTTGCATTTGTATTCTGAAAACGGAGAGCCACCATGATCTGGGATGCATCTCCAGATGATTGTGAACCCTGATTTTTCGGGGTTTCTGGCTGCATGGAGAACTCCCTTAGTGTTTAAAGGATGGTTGGAGTGCAGAAATTGCCTCTCTCTCCCTCCTCTCTCTCCTCTTTTAAGAAATATGGGTGCTGATCTTACCAAATGAGCTTTGAAAAAATGAGACAGGTGTTTAATGTTTGTTTGTGCACCTTATTGTTTATTGATTCACATAACAGGCTTTAGTACTTCCCCATAGAAGTGGGGCTTCCTTTCTAGTTTTAAAAAGCTTATGAATATGACACATTTCTTTGGTTTGGTTTTGCTTTAATCAGCTCCTGCAAATTCATAGGTGGCATACTGTATCCTCTCTGATTATAATAAGGGTTTAGCGTAGTGAGGTGAAAAGTTGTCTTCAGGTCATAATTAGAGATGGGCACAAAACGAATCACAAACCAAATGACCTGATGAACCAGTCGCTGCCTCTGAGGAGAGCATTCATGGCTATGGCAGCAGGTAGCACCCCTGGGCATGAACCAGTTTATTTTCTTGTTGATTCATGGTGTTTCGTGGTTAGCCACAAACCATGATCCATCATGAACTACCGGTTTTCTGATCCATTCCTATTTCTAGTCATAATAGATAATATAAGCCCGTAAGAAGTGAAGAACTTGTGTTTACAGATTTCCTCACATCCACATGTTGCAAATTAGGTTGTTTTGGTTTTTTGATTGGACATTGGAAGGGAAATAAAGGACTGACTTGCAAGAACTGTGCTGCTGCAGGGTAAACATTTTACCAGGTTTGAATTGCAATCCTGGCACCTTGTGTAGTTTCATCCCTACTCAGTTGGGGTTTGATTAGAGATGGGGATGACTCACCATTTTGGCAAGTTGTCCCACTTCATGAGTCATCAAAAGTTGACGACTCATGAAACATGAAGTTGCCCCCATGAAGCGATGAATAACTAAGTTATTCATCGGTTCGTGGGGGGTTATTAAAAAACAACACCCCTGGGTTAGTTTCTTTCTAGAGCCTACAGTGTTTGTTGCAAGCTAATATTCTGAACAGATCCAGTCATGGAAGAACCTATAAAACACTGAGCTTTCAAAAGTTCTTCCCCTAAAAAATGAGGTTTCAAGGAAAGCAACTTTCATCCTGAACTGACATCAACTGCTGTACCTGATTACTGGGGATTTGAACAGTGATGGACATTCTTGTGACGATGCAAGCCAAAGTCCTTGAGAGTAACATTGAGATGCAGCTGTTGTCTTGTTGGAGCTGTGGAGGAGAAGGAAATATACAGAAGTTCAAACAGAATGAGGAAATCCTCAATTCTACATCGTTTATAGAAAGGAAGAATAACAGAAGAGTTCTCTAAAATGTTTCTGCAGAAGTGCTTTTAATAGTACTGGGAACGTTCTTAGCAAGGCTGGGTTGAAAAGTTTCTTCTACAGCCCTTGTGCTACTAGCAGCCTTGGGTCCTTCCTGTGTCCCATATATACACTACATCAGGGGTCGGTAATTCATTTCTTTAGGGGGGGCCACATGAAAAATCCGAACTGTGTTCAGGGGCCAAACCAACTTTATTTAAAAAATTAAACGAAACAGTGATGTTATGATTGTTTTTATTTTAAACTTGTTAATCTTCAGAAATACTAAAGAGTTTTTTTGCAGTATGTTAAAGATAAGCAACTGATCAACTTTAGACAAAAAGTTATAAATGGTTTTGATGTCCAGCAGGTGGGACAGGAGTGGCTCATGGGCTGTATGTGGCCCTCGGGCCGCACTTTGCCCAGGTCTGCACTACATCTTTCTGGCTTTGAACGTTTTTCTGTATCTTTTCTTCTCCTTGTAAAATGTTAGAATCTGCTCATCTGAGTTCACTTCAGAGAATCATTTTATCCATGTGAGCAGGCACTGTACTTTTTTATTTATTTATTTGCTCAATACCTCATGTGCACATGGTTGTCGGATCAGATAACTGATGCTTGACCCTCCCCAGGAGTCCTACAGAACTGTATAGACCTACTGGGAAACATCAGAAGCCTGTGTTTATTACAGCTGGCATTTATCTCAGTAAAGAGTTAATTCCAAGATGAAACCAAACCAAAATTCATCATGCTATCAAAGTATAAGTCTTTTAGTTGTTGTAGTAATTCTAGGCAACATCAACGTATCTAATTCGACAAGCTTTGCTTATCTAGATTGCTTCTATGTTACATAAGCACAAAAATACTATGAAGTTGTTGTAAAATACTTACAATCTTACAGCAATAAAGAAAACTGCAGGCACAAGTGCAGTTGAATTTCTTAAATAGAAATCCAAAAAATCTTACAACTATTAAAAGTTGCAGACATTCAAATACAAAACTTGCAGGCAGAAATTAAATCATGTAAAAATAAATGAACTCAGCCTAAGAGGCAAATGTAAAAAGAAAAGACAGAGAATATGTCTTAAAATGAGAATAAAGAATAAAATTGTATAAAGTAAAAAGCATTTTAACTCTAATTAATCTTTGGCCTTATTTAGAAAGTATGAAAAAAACCCGAAGTTTTTTAAAAATAAATATATCTAATGTAACAAAAAATAGTACATTTTATAAATGTTGTTCCATCTGCCAGTTTAAAATCTATGGAGGAAAATCCATGATGTTTGTGAATTGTCTCTGTGTCCAGTTGCTCTGCTACATGATAGTTGTTGATCTCCTGTGTGTGTAGCACAGTGTGGAGTCTTCTTGTTATGATGAGTTGAATGCCCTGTTTGTGTGTCCAGTTTCCACATATTTATAACCCTTTGTTTTCACTCCCTTCCTATCTGTACATAAACCTTATCTGCACGGTTTGTGCAGTCTAAGATCCTGGAAGTTCAGCAATCAATCAATCAATCAATCAATCATCAATCAATCAATCAATCAATATCAATCAATCAATGGAAAATTCTATTGTACCTGCAATTTTTGTGACTCTAGGGGTCTCTAATTTCAAATGGCTAGCCACTATTACTATATTACCATAGTACAGTAATTATTATAGTAATATATTACTATGGTTTTCATGCTTATTTTGACTATTGATTTTGCATGCTTCTAGAAATTTAATAATCTGTAATTCCAAGGCCTTAGACCTGTAGTTCCCAACCTCAGGTTCCCAGATATTCTTGAATTAAAACTCCTAGAAGCCTTCTCCACTAGCTTTGCTGATCAGGAGTTCTGGGAGTTGTAGTCCAAGAAAATCTGGAGATCCAAGGCTGGGAACCAGTGCCTTAAATTAACAAGGTCTTTACATTAAGATTTTAGGAGATTAGACCATTACAAACTTGATCTATTATGATCACAAGTAGGGTGTACTGTTAGATGGGCTAGCAACAATCTCATATTTTCATCAAAAACCATTCCACTCGTTACATCAATCAATCTTTAGTTTACTTCTACACCAAACTGACAGACATGGATGACATTTTTAAAAGCAGTGTTATCATAATATTGACCTTGTTCTCAGGCTTGTTGGAGAACAGCCAATTGTTTGGAAAACAGCTATAACTAAAGTACATTATTTCCCATGCCATACTTTAAATATACTTTCATTTTCATAGCAAACTTTTTATGCCTCCTTTAATCATTTTTAACACTTTATAAACACAAAATTTAAAATCTTGACATGGCCATGAGGTGAAACCTACATGTAAGTTTGAGTGAACATACAGTATTTGCAGTTCAAAGCAACCATGAGAATTTTCTGAAACCATAACAATGATTATGGAATATATCATGACTTCGATGCCCCTTCCAGTTTCACATTATGTTAGCATTTATTCAAGCCATATGGCAAACAACAAATTTAAGGACTAGATTGGTCATGGGCTTATAGATTTGGTGCAGGAACTCACCAAGTTTGTAAAGTATAGTGTTTGTGGGGAAAATACATTTTAATCAATTCTTGAAGCTTGGGGAGATTACTTTTGGAGGACTCCAGTTCCCAGAATACCCTTGTCAGCAAGGCAGCTTTGGCACATGTTGAATGGGAGGCCGCAGGTGATCATTTTGGTAGCATCTGGAGAATGACTGATGATTTGCTGAACTCGAAATGCTAGCATAGAGTGCAAATAAACATTCACTTCCAAGATTAATGTTTGACTGTATAAATACCATGAGAAATTTGGAAACATCCATGAAGGAATTATGCCTGTTAAAACTGAGGACAATAAAACGTAGAGTGCAATAATTTCAGTTCTGTTTTAGACACAATACTCAGTAGTACATCAGCTACAGAAATGCGAAATGAAAATCTTCAGAGCTTCATCAAATAATTTTATACCGAAAACTTTTCTTTTGGCTTTACTAAATTATGTGACTGGGAATTAATTGTTTGTGTACATTTTGTGTAGTAATAGTGCTGAAACCTCAACTTTAATTGGTTCCTCAGTCTGATGTAGTGTTCAAATGCATAACAAGCCCTGACTTTGTTCTATTAACTTTCCATGTAATTCAAAAATTAATAAGTTTGTTTAATTTCTACACATGCACTTTCTTGATGACTAAACATTCTGCCCTACTGTCTTTGTGCATGTGTCTCCTTCACCACATCAGAAACATGCCAACTGTTTTTCCAACATTGGGCGGGCACTTTAGTTTATGAAGTGGATACTGTGTCTGGGGTCCTCTCCGTGTCAAGGTACTGGTCTACTACTAAGACCAACGTACATGTGATAACAGACAGTCAATGAAGAATGTGTTGTAATGCATTAAACTGCAGTAAACTGCAGTGTAGTGGGCTGAAAAGAATATATTGCCTATGCCTCTGTTATGTATTCATGTGGTGTATATGCACAAAAATTGAAATTTACTTTTAAAGGTCTTAGTAACAGATTTTTTTTCAAGCATATCAGCTTTTGTGACTCCAAAAAGAAAAATAATGAATAATGGCAGGGTCAATTTGCTCATCATTACCTTAGTGTGATGACACCTGACTCAACAGTACAGCATTTGTAAGCTTTCAGAGAGGTCCAGAGGTCTGTTGAGGGCCTTCCAGGAACCTATTGCCTATGATGAGAAAGTGGGATCACTTTATGATGAAGCTTCTTGTTCTGGAGCAGAGACTAACAGTACTTCATTTCCCCTCCCAAGACAGCCTCATAGGCTCTCAACAGCTTTTCCCTTTTTGAAGCCAAGTCATGTGTGAACAGCTATGGTCACGAATGACCTACAATCAAAACATGGAGAGAGAGAAATGAATTTCTTACAAACATCATTTGAGGAATTGGCAGGGAGCTGCTTGGGCTGCTTTCTTTTCCTGTTGCTGCCCTAGAATTCAATGTTGTGTCAGAGAGAGGAGAAGAGGACAGAGCGCAGTGTCCAACAGGTCCTCTATAAATAAATTCCCTCTGCAATGATTTCTGCAGCCCTGTTTTGAGCACAAAGCAGAATATTGCTATAAATCTGTTTTAGCCTTCAGAGACTTAGACAGCAGCAAAGTATTAGGAGGAGAGAAAACTAAGTACAGGACAATAACTAATGCAACTCTCAGTCACTCCAGAGGATGTTGTAGTTTATTTATTTTTATTTCTTTGTCTTATCTATAGTCCGACTTTCTCCCAGTAAGGGGACGTGAAGTGGTTCACGTTGTTAAAAAAAAGTTGAATTCAAAGCACAATAAATTAACTTTAAAAAAATATTCTACCACATATTTTAAACTGTCTTGCTGTGGCGATTGTTCCTCATGGGTTCTAAAATCTTCTCTTTTGCTCTACGTATTTGTTTTATTTTATTTATTTATAAGTCCATATATGACCTTTGAGTAAACATTTATGAGGACTGTTCACAAGTACAGTATATCGTGCTTTTAAGAAACGTAGATGCTGAAGCATTAGACAAGCTGTGTAGTTCATAAGGCATTCTGGGCAATCAATTATTCAGTTCATTTGTTCTGGTTCCTATATACTGTATTTTCTTATAAGAAAAAGTAACCAGAACAAATGAACTGAATAATTTATCACCCCAAAGACCATAGGAGCGACATAGTGGAGTCGTTTTCTTGCAGTGACCTCTTGACCATCGCCTCACAGAAAGGTCAACTGCACTTCTGAAACGTGTCAATCAATCAATCAGACCTTTATTGGCATAGACAAGACAACATATAAAAGGAAAGTTAAAATTGCTGGTCTTTGTTGCTCGCCTCACAGAAAGGTCAACTGCACTTCTTAAACCTGTCATGTTTCTGCCTCCGGAGGGAAAGATGGGGCAAGGAATCTTACTTCATTGGTGTAAATAAAAGGAGAGGATTGTAACATAGTGTAGAAAAGATGCTACGCTCGCAGATACATCCTGTAGGGAGTCACTCAACATAAAATAAACTTTATCAGCTTCGGAGAGGCCTGATTTGTTTTTTAAAATTGGTTCTAAAAGTTGGATACGAGGGGCGAAACGTGTCATGTTTCTGCCTCGGGAGGGAAAGATGGGGCAAGGAATCTTGCTTCATTGGTGCAAATAAAAGAAGTACAGTACAGTGCTGCAATCAACTGCTAACAAGAAAAGAAACTTTTCTGAAGGAATACTTACAACTTCTGTGGATCTGGTAAGATCTTAGCGCAGAAGGTCTTGGGTTCATGAATTTTTCGACAGATCCTGATGAATAAGAACCTGTTCCAGTCAAGCAACCAGGTAGCAAATCCACAGCTGTGTAAAGACCCCTTCTTGTGGAACTCTCTTGTGCTGATTCCTGAGCTGGGACTTTTAGTTTAGCTGCCCTGTTAACGAGATTTCTGTTGCCATAAATGGTAAGGTATGGAAGTCTGCAGTCTTTTAAAGATTGATTGCTCCAGACCAGGGACCTACAATGTTATGAACAAGTTCAATTTTTTTCTCTCCTCCTTTGTAGGGAAGCTGTACTGTGGAACTCTAAAGACACCCAATTCTTATCACAGCTTAATGTAACCCCTGTGTGCTCATTTCTTCATAAAAAGATTGAAAATCCAAAACACTTCCCGAAAATGAATTATGAGTTCTTTAAATACTATCATTGCAGTTTCATACTGAGATTTTGGTTTATGGCGTTTTTAAAAAGTATATCATTAACATATGGTTTGTGCTTAGTTGTGCATTGAGCTAATACATTGGAACACAAAATGTGACTTTTTGATGTATGGGCAAATGCTAGACATTGCTGAGCCTAGTTAAATGTTTAGGCCTCTGAAATTGCCTCTCCCCACTGGCATTACTACTATTTCTTCTGTTACCTCTGAGAATATATGAGAGTAAAAAAGCAAATGACAGAAAAGGGACTTTAGAAAAGATTTATATTATTTGAATGATTCTCTGAGGTTGGGTCAAAAGTATTCCCAAATTCAACTTAACTTGTTCGTTATATCTTTTCTGAATGACACAGTGCATCAGGATATGCCTCAAAGCCCTTTTTTTGAGTCAAGTGCCAGACTAAAGATGCTTGGGGATTTAGCTAGTTTGCTACGTTCTCACACATCCCTGTTTAAATGTTGAATATTTATCAGGAGCTTCAAAGGGCCCTATGAGAGAGGGTGGATGCACTGGAAAAAAATGCAAATTGATTTATGACTGTGAAATGTAAATAAATGTAATTGTTTAAGATTTAATGGCTCACTGAAACACAAGGCTTGGTGTTTAGGTTAGTGGATGATTTTGGAAACTGAACATTTGTACAGAACGTTTTATTTTCAAACAAGAATGCCACTTTTAGAAAGACTTGTTAAAGGCCCAGATGTGTTGCTGTATTAGATGTAACTAGACATGGGAGCTTCGCATTTATATCCCTGGGGATACAAATATGAAGTGTGGTACCATAGAGGCTGCAATGGTCTTTTCCCTCCTCCCAGAAACAGCCTGGTCTGCTCCCTGGACTTCACATGGTACGTGTGTCCATCATCGGTAACATCACACCAATTGGGGAAGTAGCCCAGCCAGCGCTTCCCTGCCTCCCTGTGCTGCTGACCACTCTGGTGAGGAGGCGGGATGATGAATCTCTCTGCTCGGCTGCTAGGTGGTCAGCACCTCAGGGAGGTGGGGAAGCACCAGCTGAGCTACTTCCACAGTTGGTTGTTACCGATGATGGACATGTGTGCCATGCAAAGCCCAGTGAGTTGACCAGGCTAATTCAGATATCCCTAAGTGTTTCTTCCATATAATAATCATGGTGTGCTGTCAAGTCAATTTTGACTTATGGTAAACCTTTTCAGGGTTTTCTAGATGGAGAATATTGAGAAATCAAGTCAATTTTGACTTATGGTGAACCTTCAGGGTTTTCTAGGTGGAGAATATTGAGAAGTGGTTTACCAGTTTCTTCTCCTGGGGGAATCCTCAGATTGTGCAGCTTGCCCAAAACCACACAGGCAGATTCTACTCATAGAAGGCACAGTGGGGAACTGAATTCTCAAACTCTGGCTCTGCAGCCAGATACCTAAACCACTGAGCTATCCAGCTATTGTGTTACTTCCACATTGATTTTAATACTGGTTTCAAAATGTGTGGTCAATGAGAGTTAATGTTTTTCAAAGTTGGTTTTTTTTTCATGCCTGTGTAGCTGAATGCTTCAAACAGATGAAGAAAGTAACTAATTAGAGATGTTAGTTGCTTTTAATCAATACTATCCCCCAGTAATAATGGTTCAGGTATAGTACATTTATAATTTAATGAGAACCAACTTCAGATCTTCTGCAGCAAGTTTGCCACTTTAAAAGTTAATTTTGTATTTACCAAGTTATAGTTTCACCAAATGGTGGATAAGGAATATCACATAAAGTACAGCTTCAAGCTCTGTCAAGAGTGTTGAGGAAACACATAAGTAGAGAGGCAAATTTTATATCATAGGCAAAAAAAACCTTGTCTTAAAAGAAAGGAAAATGGTAATTTATCTTTTGAAAAACCAGAAAATGAAGAGTTATTTCTAAAAAAACCTGTAACTGTTACAGCTACTTACCTGCTTTTGCAGCCTAGAGCTTATAACCACAACTAATTTCTTTTTCAAAGAAACTTTCCAACATCTGGTTTAAATGTTTAAATAGTATTTTAAATTATTGTGTTTCTTTCCTACATGCACATTACTATGGAAATGCAATGGGGCAATTGTAGCTGAAAATGTTAGTTTTTTAAAATGTTGGTGAGAAACAGATTCCTTCAGGTACAATCACTTCTGTGATACAATTAGTCACAGAGGTGTCAAAGAAGCGCTACTGGCAAATCATTCTGTTGTTAAACCTGTGAAGTGTTAAAATCCTGTTACAGCTGTCAGATAAGGAAATGAGACAGTCTTCTTCTAGACTTTTAAAAAACATCTAGCTAAATAGAAGTACTCAATGGACCTGGCTAGCTGAAGGATACTGCAGATGATCGAGAGGTATAAATCTATCAGTATAAAACAACGGTTCCTGGTTTGAAGGCATGTGCAATCCAAACTTTTATATAGAAAAAAGATGAGAAGGAGAAGAGAAGAAAAATGGAGTTGAAATAATATGCTGTGATTCAGTTACACGTGCTTAGGTTTAGAAACTTGACTATTTCCATAGTGCTATATCTCTCTCCATGAAAATATGTATTAAAATACATTTCATGCATTCTTTAAGTACGATGAGAAAATCATGATGAAAAAATGTCAGTTTTATTTTCTCTCATTTTTTTTAAAAAAACACCTTCAGATTTTTAAAATCTCAAATATCTGAAAATTTTGGCAAATTTTTCCGAACAAACTGAAATTAAATTATCTCCCATCTCTGCTGCCCAAACTCCTGCCTGCGTGGCAAAGAACAGACCTGTCTGTCATAGTTAAAGATAAAGAGACTTTCAAGGGGGAAAGAAGGGGGAAGTGAAAGCTTCATTTGGCATTAATGTAGATGAATACTCAGAAGATCTAAGCTGGACTTTTAAGAGTTAAAACACTGAAATTCCCTGTGCCAGGCTTTAATTTCTCCTGTGTCGTAATTTCTTTACTGTTGAGTTCTTTTTTTCCAGTTAGCATATGTAGATATATTTGCACATTTTGGAAAAGTCTTATAGGAAAAATGAAATGAAAGTAATTTGAATTAATAACTAGCATAATTATTATAATTAGCATGATGATTGTTAACATGATTAACACAATGGTAATTATAACTAATATAATAATTAACGTTATCAGAATGGGGAAGCAGGTGAGTTCTGGAATGGCAGGAATGCCAGTTATGTAGTTGGGTGGAAGAACTTATTATGAAATGGTTGGTCCTGAGAGTGATTACGAAAAGAAGGGAAGGGAAATTGTTGTTTTCTGTTTTACATTAGGGGCTGTGATAGAAGGAGGTTTCAAAATTGAGTCTCTAATATTTCTTGTCTAATTCCCTTTACTTCTTGCAATTCGGTATTATTACATGTTATTCAGTGTTATTCTATCAGAAAAAAACTTCCTAACTGTTAGAGCAGTATGACATTGGAACCCATGATCTCAGGGGGAGGTGTTGAGCACTCCAGCGACGTGGAGGCATTTGAGAGAAAATTGGACCACCATCAGTCAGATGTGCTTTGATTTGGATTCCTGCCTTGATCCAGGGGTTCTACTTGATGGCCTCATAGGCCCCTTCTAACTCTATCCTTCTATGATTTTATTATTACATGCCATAAAGTTACTTGATGGCCTCATAGGCCCCTTCCAACTCTATCCTATGATTTTATTATTATGTGCCATAAAGTTGCCTCTGACTTATGGCACCCTTATGAATGAGTGATCTAGAGAATGCCCTGTCCTGTAGGTAGTACAGCCACAGTAAGGTTTTGATTAGATTAAATAAAAAAGGTTTGTATTTGTATTAAAAGAAGCCCCATACTAGCTAAATAGTGGAATTTCAGTGGCAAATGATGCTTTGACATTCCCCTTTTTCAGCACTGTCCACACCTAGCTTCCCTGGAATACTCTTAGAGGCAATGTGTAAGGAAAAACACAAAATGTGAACAAACATTGCTGCTGAGATTTTTTGTCAAGGCTCAAGTGTGAGGCCAAAATAACAAGCCTTTGGGGATTTGTTTTTGTTGCAGAGTTTTGAATTTCTGGTAAAATTCCTTTTGCTATGCAATAGAAGTGCAGAGATCAACAGAGGAGAACAGCTACAGGTTCCCCAGAATCCACCTCTTTTTTTCAGTAGGGCACATTTAACCTCTCAATAACTCCCTCTGAGAGACATTTGTAGGAGAAAGAATAAAAACATTTCTTTACTTGCTTGAAGTTACAGACTTGTTTATACTGCTTTTTTTTTTTTTTACTGCATACACACCTAGCAACCAACTGAACAGATCAACAGGGGAAAAACACTGGCAAGAACCAAGGAAAGAGAGGGAAAGAAGCACCCACAGAGGTGGAGCTCTCTTTGAATTCAAAGGCTGGAAGGGACGATTGGTTAGTGCTGGATAAATAGACAGTCATCCCAGCCCTGAAAAGTCCTTCCCAGTTAATCAAACTGCAGGCGGCATGCAAGGCTGCAAATGAAATTCCAGCAGTTGTCTGTGGTTTATGCAAAATGTGTCCACACCTTTTCTCTTTTCCTAAGCACACGCACCAAGCACTGAAAGATCCAAACATACCATCCAGTGCAAGCATGTCCAGTTCATGCAGGACAGCTACATTTATTTCACTATCTGATATTGCCCATTTTACAGAAATGGGCAAACCCAGACTTAGCGGTGTTCAGAATCTCCCTCAGACTGAGCACCCCTGTACCTTGGCATCTTATAGTGAGTTTCTCTTGCTCACTTGTTGCATGACAATTTG